CCTACTGGGTCCAGTACTAACAGATTTTGTCATGTCGATGATTGAAACAGAGGGGAGTGGAGCAATGTAGATTCTTTCCTAATAAAAGCGGTGCGTGTATGATAGTTTGGTGTTCAGCGCATCAGAAGAACAGACAAAGTCATAGCTCTGGGGGTTAACCCTGTCCTTCGCATTTTCATAACGTACATGATAAAGGAGTTTGAGTTGCGCTATATCACGGAAAATTTACCAGTAATAGGGACCCATTGGCGTTACTCAGGATTTGTGTGTAAGTCGCTGGTCATAGTTCCGGATTCAGTAATCCAGTAGATGCGCGCTTTTGATGACAAAACCGCCGCTGAGTGTTTTTCCGAAAGTGTGATGACTATGACCTAGCTTGGCTGCAACGAAGTGAGTATGTACACTGTCGCTTCACTTAACAAACACTTCAACTTGAACAATGGGATGTACCATTGGCCACACCGTCATAGTGTGACGCACTCTGAAACTTCAAAGACTAACTTATTTTTCAAAGTGTTTTTTATGTGCAGTGTTGCAACATAGTCGAAAGTGTGGCATGCTCAGGAAGTCACAATACCACATAGAAATGATCCGGAGGGGGAAATGTTGTACTATCTTTTATGCGGGTGGCATCAGAAAGTTTTGCCGCAGTGGTTACTATTAAGTTTAGGGGTCGAAGTGGACTCCGTCTGTCACGAAGTTAATAGGGTATCGTCTCAGTTTCCTCAACAGCCCGGACCCAGTTCGGAGTCGGAATGTCTTTGCCATCACGTGGCCACTCAAAACGGAGTTTCAACAGTCATCAATTGCATACATCTATGGCTTGTAACAAGTGAATTTCGGCTATTTACTCTGCCCTTCACCTGTTGGCAATGACAGATTGTGATTCAGTGCGCAAAGAAATATTTCCATTTATTGTACATTTACCCTGATTTGCCATGAACTTTGAAGCCCAGCCAAAACTTCATTGTAAATATTCATACAATTCATTTTTCGAATCAGTCAGCTATTTGACTAGTGTAGCTTGTTTCTGCTAATGAAACCAATAGGGATGTTGGTTGCTACTTGAAGGGACAAACTTTTTTGAGAGGGCCTACTTTAGTACACGGGTGTGACCGATCCATCACGCGCCGCCTGACAAATTTTTTTCACTCTTAGTGACCCTGAGGACTGTTGATGGTTATGGTGGAATAAACCGCATGGAACGCACTGTATGGAATCAATGCCAAAGTTGACTTGGCCACATAATAGGCGGAGTTAGCCACATTCTTATCTTGTGAGTTCTGTTGGTGTGCCATAGTCTGCCAACCAGCGGAGAAGACACTAGTCAGTTGAAGTGTTGTTCCAACGAATAGCAGCAAGATTTATTAGCTCTAGATAAGAATCAAGCCGAGCGCGTCTGACACCAGCGGAGACATTGAAAAGCGAAATGTGCATATGGCACGCAATCTCAAGTCCCCTTCTTCCCTGATATGTTGCCTGTTTATTCAGCAAAAAATACCCGATTCTGTTGCATTTTTGCAGATCAAAGGATCGATTTTTGGAGGGTGAGAACATTGAGGTTATTGCAGTTTATTGAAGAGTAAGGAAGACCGTTTGGGAGATTTTAGACCCTTTGCATCCTGACATTGGTTACTGAGAGACTGGAGCAAGTTAAATGCGGACGGCCTATACTCCGCGTGTGGTGCGCGATATGAAAATGTTTCCTCCGCTTTGTCGATCAGTTTTTGGTCGTTCAAAATAGTGGGAGGCTTTTGAGCAACGGGATACACTTATCTTCGCTACTCGAAGCGTTTGTTTGATGAGCCAGGTAGACTTGCAACACAGCTTGGGCATCAAATACGATTACTGATTAGGGTTATTGCGTAACTGATCGTATACTGTCTGATTGTGTCTGGTGCACGTTCCTACCATCTGCATCATTTATCTATCATTCATTCATTCAAGAAAGCTTTATGCACCCGAGAGTTGGCTATTCCGCTGTTACACACGCGCCTACTGCATTGTCAAAAGAATACACAAAAAGGTAATAAGCAGAAACACAGCAATCTTGTTACAGTGGAAATTTGCTTGTAAGCTCTATAACCACTGAGGTCTGAGTGCACAAAAAGCGTGCCAAATATGGGATTACGGATGAGTGGTAAGCCCTTGTACGGGAATCAATGGATCTGTACTGTTGTCTAGTTGTGGAAATTGATGTAGAGTCAGACAGTGCACTATAAAGGGGGCGACTTGCATCAGCGAATATTTTTGAAGCAGGCCTTGTACATGAACTGGAATGATTAGACACAATAAAGTCAACAAAGGTCGGCTTTAGAATACCACTACATCGAGGCAGTTGTGATAATGACCACTCTAGGATTTTGCAATGCTTCCTTTGGAAACCGGGGAGTGTCACAGGGAAGCAATAAGTGCAGTGAAGTAAGACGCAGACGGTGATAAATCGCAGTATTAGGTAGCGGGCGACAGAAGAGGATCGCAAACGAGCAGCGTAAAAGGAAACCCTCCTCACTTTTTAAAACCTTCATTCACGTACACTGACCATGTTAGATCACAGTTGAATGTAATACCTAGATACTTCGCAGACTCGGTGGTGCAACCGCTCACCATATATGGGAACTTCAGGGCGATCCAGTAGAAGTTGTTGATATCGACGGTCATTGCCGAGAGGAAAAAGCACGTCACTGTACTTTGATGCCTCTACCGGTACAAGTTAGCTCTGGACCATATTGTAAGGTCGTTCAGATAGGCTTGTAACATGCTTGATGAAGTTGAGGTCGGATTCTTGATATATAAGACAACGTAGTCTGCATATTTCAGCGCTGTCGCTTCGCCTGGAGGTGGCAAATGAGCCTGCATAATGAGGCGGTATGGTGAAAATATGGCTCCTGGGAGAATCTTGTTGGCTGTGGTGAATAGTGAGGAGGTTTTACCCCCAAGTCAAGTAAACTGAGCACGTCCAGGGAAATAGTCTCTCAACAGGTGGATTCCGGTATCCCACAGGAATATCAAAAGAACTTCATGATTTACACTGCCGAAAGCATTATTCTAGTCGAGAAAACATACTCACGCGGATTTGGTCTTATTTTCCAGTGACGCCAGCACTGAATGTAAAAGATAGGCTGGTGCATCTACAGTAGATCTCAGTCTACGAGAAGCAAATGGGAGCGGATCATCTGGAAGAGTTTGCGTCATCATACTTTCAAGAAAAATCTCCTCGAAGACTTTCAGCTTTACTGAGGTGATGCAAGCAATTAGCCGGTATTTATCTGAGCCTTTCTTTGGCACCGGTGTAATGCTAACTTTACTCCAACAGTCGGCAATTTTACTTTACTGTATGCACGTGTGCAGGCCAGCAAGAGGCTGTGCCAAGGAATCTGCACACACTTTGAGGACATGGTGAGATAATCCGTCCAGACCACTTACTTTGTGAGAATCTAGCTTCAGCAGTTGATTGAGAACTGTATTCCTATCAATGGTAGATGAAGAGATTGTGGAACTGTCCACTCGGGGGAGGAAGGGTAATAAGTGTAGTTAGCACCGAAACAACAAAATTCGGTTCAAATTTTCAAGGTCCATATCTGCATTTGCTTGTTGAGAGACACCCCTAAGTTGTTTCAGCATCCGCCAGACCACTTGACAACTATTGTTTCCGAGAATGGTTTGGACATATAGATGGTTTAGACGGCGTAACTCCAAGTTGATAGAATATCGACAGTTCACTTGTTTGACAAGTTGGTATTCATTCTTAACTCGGTACCAATACTGTTCCACTGTCCAGAAAACAAACTGTTGGCTCCATCTAGCGGACTCTTTTCTGTCTTATCAGCGACGAAATGGGTGGTTTCGCAATCCTCATGTACACAACCTGATTTTTGGTGAACAAAATACGTCCGATTCAGTTATTATGTTGGTATCAATTTTCATTCGGTTTTCTGTAACCATGTTGTTCGTTGAATCTGTTCAGTATAGCTATAAAAGTCTACAGTGATTGGTTGTCAGCAGGTGGCCGAGAAGTCACCAGTTCGAATCCGCCTAAGTGGAGGTAACCTCGCGGTAATACTCATCCCACGCGCCACCGGTGGTGGTCGCGTGTCAGCGAAACGTATGTGCGGTGTACCGGCATACTGCTGATATCTATTGTGGTGAATCCCAAACTTATTATGCGGTTGTTTTAGTCGGGTTGACTGTTGGCATGAATTAGTGTCCAATACCACTTCTCTGGTCTAGTGCTGCTTGAATGAACAAAAAATGGTCTCTCATAGTAAGCTATAACATTTTAGACCACCAAGGAGAACTTCACAACAGACGTGCCATCGACCATTTAGAGTTTACCAATTTTCTTGGGTCCTGCAAGACCTAATGGAGAATCCATCTTTCCACGCAGGGACATAGTTGTTAGGCCTGGTAACGAGACCAAAGTTTTACAAAAGACGGTACTATAACAGTGAGCGGTTTACTCGTATCAAATCTAGTCTTTCACACTACTGTCTACGCCTGAATTCGTCCCCAATAGTGCACGACGTCCTCTGAAGCGACTTCTGACTCTGAACTAGACAACCGATCAAAATACATTGAGCATTGTTCCCAGATTCTCGGTAGTGACCGAGGATACGTCCTCATCACGAATGACTAAGAACAACCTCTAATCACTTTCCACCTATTCTTTTCACTTGTTATCAATATCCCTGAGTCCCACATATAACACGGTGCATTTCCCTAGGTGAAATGGTACTAACTGAAGCACCAGGAATAGGGCTAAAAGACAGTTGCATCTCAAGTTCTTCCTTTTTTTACTACAGTAATGTCTTTTGTCCTAGTACATCAGTATCAGTTAAGCAACCAGAGACTAATCTCCTTTTAGCTGGGAAAAACTACCGGCAGAACTGTACTTGTAGGTCAGTTGAAATTATCTCATATGCACTGTTCAACAGCTACCGCTTTTTGTGTGCCAATTTGTTGCTAGGATTTACTTTTTACATTTATCCCCTGAAACTCACCTTTTCATAACTTTGGGCTGACACGACCAAAACGAATACGTAGACGCCCGAAACAGGTGCCGTAAACTGTCCGCTTGTAGCGTTGTAACCGTTACCCAGGTTCAGCAACACGGAGTCAAAAATTAGGGCACAGTCATTTTCAACAGGCTTGGTTTCAATGCTTTTGGATAGGGCCGCATAAAATGCCACTTGATATTCATTTGGGGGTGGCACCCATACTGCCATTGGCGCTAGGTGCAAAGAAGAATAAAACCAAATTTAGTTGCTGGAATCAATAGCAAGGGTGCTACGGTTAACCGTTCACCCACACGTGACCAGTTATAGGAACAGTGACTACTTCTGAATTAACTATCTGCTGAAAAGGGATTACACAATGAACAATGAATTTATACGGGTTAAGAAGCGTTGCTTTACAAGCCCCGTTGGATAGTTGGTGGAGATATCAACATAATAATTACGATGAAAAGGATAGTAAAATAGTTAACACTTTAAATACGAAAATAAGGACTTATCGTTTGCTTCGCTGCAGTCCTGTGATCCACTTAGATTCACAAAACCCACAGTTAACAACAAATAATTCCATGGTAAACTCCAGGTGTAGGATGGAGACATAGTGTTAAGTAACAAAGTGAAAGTGGATGAGTGCATCGTCCAACCGTCTTTTAAATATTGTTAGTGTCGGTGCAGAAACGACCGATTCTGGGAGAGCATTCCACGGGTGACAGACACGGATGGAAAAGAAATTTCTGCGGCACTCCAGACGACTGTATTGTTCTGCGAGTTTTAATGAGGTTTGTATTGCTGCTGAGTTGCAGTAAAGGGCGGCACACATGATGTGGGTCTCGCAGAATCAAGTATGTCATAATCAGGTCGCCTCGTAGCCTGCGATAGCTTCCACTGAACATTCCTAGTCGTCGCAGCCTCTCTTGGTAGGACAGATTACGCATTCCAGTTACGTTCTTAGATGCCCGGCGTTGAGGCTGCTCCAGTGCATTAAGGTCGTGTTTCAGCCATGGATGCCAGGCTTGAATTGCGTATTCGACATGGGGGCGAACATACGCACTGAGCATTTGTCGAAATATGGAGCTGTTTATTTGTCCAAACGCCCTCCTCAACAGCCCAACGTGTTGGTTCCCGGTCTTCGAGGCCTTTTCGGATTGCCTGGAGCAACCCAAGTCATCTTGAACCAGGACACCCAAGTCACGTTCGAGAGTTGATTGTTGCAGTACATTCGTTCCGAGTCAGTATGAGTAGCTGCCGTGATGTCGGATGGAAAGCACCTTGCATTTACTGACATTGAAATGCAATAAGTTTTGGATCGACCATTGATACACTGTATCTAAGTCACTTTGGAGCACATGTTAGTCGGCGTTCACCTGGATCCTGTGCCAGATCTTGATATCGTCGGCAAACATTAGGAAGTTTGAAGCGATTCCCTGTGCAAGGTCATTAATAAACACCAGAAACAAACGTGGACCTAGAACCGAGCCTTGCGGCACACCACACTCGACTTGTATGGGGTCCGATAAAGAGCTCCGAACTCTGACCACTAATTGCCTTTGAAATAGAAAGTTGGCGATCCAGCTTAAAAGAGGGTCGCCGATCCCGTAATGCTGCAGCTTGGATAGTAGTATCCGATGGTCTAGACGATCGAAAGCCTTGGAAAAATCCAGGTAGATCACATCAACACCTTCTCCAGCGTCGGCTGCCTCAGTCCAACTACTGCGTGCAATGAGTAAATTAGTTGTACATGACCGCTGTCGACGGAAACCGTGCTGTTCAGGAGTGATGAGGTTGCAGTTTTCCAGATAGCACACCAGCGCATCGGCAACTATGGATTCCATGACCTTGGAGAGTATAGGAAGAAGGGTTACTGGGCGGTAGTTGGAGGGATCAGATCTGCTTCCACCTTTGTGAATCGGGCTTATTATTCCAAGCTTCCACATGGCGGGAACTTGGTTCCGGTCTAAGCAGTGCTGAAAAAACTGAGCTAAATGTCCTGCCAGTTGGTTTGCTGCTACTCCCAATGCCTCAGGACGAATGGCGTCGACACCCGGCGAGCTGTGTTTGCGTAGAGAAGTCAGCTTTTGCAATACAGCCTCTGCGGTAAAATTGATATGGGTTAGTCCTGGTGAGCAGAATACAAAGCATGGTAGATCGCTTGGTGGCAAGACCCTTTGAAATGTGGGGGCGTATTGCATCTGCAGCGCGTTTGCAGCCTCCATAGACGTTCTTGTTGGGCCATCAGCCGTCTTGAGTGGAGGAAATCCTTGCCTCACCTTTCGTAGGCTATTAACGTGCCGTGCGCCATCCGATGCAGATGTCACTTGGTGATACAACTGTTGCGTGTTCAATGTTACTCGTATTTATTTTTTGCTCATGTTACTTGAATCACTATACTTGATGTGGTTAAGTTGGAAAGCAACCTCTACATAAAGTTGAAGTGGGCGTGTTTCCACTGTTACGTATACGAATAGCAATTTAATGCTACCGATACGCAACATTTTGCTGCTAAAGTTTGCCTTTATAACAGGAATTCCCTCAAAACCCATTCTACTCAACGTGCTACTCTTTGATCTTCTTAGTTGCAATTTACCATCGTTTCATTAGACGAGATAATCAGTTGCGCATAAAACAGATGTTGAGCCACCGCTTTTTCGCTATGTTTTAATCGCTTTCAATTAATTCACCTGTGGCACCTGCATGTCATACAAGCTGACAATATTATTCAGACATTTTTGCTCACCCTCCTAGGGATAGAAACTGGAAGGTCTTTGAGGAAAAGCAGCAAGAGGTGTGAATACGATGATGTGATAGCAGTGACAATAGTTACTAGGTTATCAGTGATCCGGAACTTGAACGGTCCACGCAGTGCGAAGTAGAATACGCTGAATTTGCGAATGCAACTAGTCATGCTGCTTGGACAGTCTCTGCGGCAAACGTCATTCACCGAAACTTAGCTGAAATTTTATTCACAATGGCACCCACCGCCAGCCAATAGAAGTGAAAGCTTAACACCACAAATGAACAGTACTTATGGGTGACAATTTGCGTAGGGAGTGTAGGAATTGGGGCAGCATTACCTAACTATCGCAAACAATTACATCCCAAGTGTGTTTACTTAGTGCTTGGCAAGGTGACGAAACACAGCTCTATCGATTCTGTTTGGTCTTGCGTGGAGTGTACGGTTCATACACTGGTTAGGTGTACAGATGTGATGGCGTAAAAATCCCACTGGCTAGGAGCGACTGTAGATCGACCAAACACGATAAGAACTGTTCTACTGAACCCGGACGTATCAAGTCCTTGTCTTCGATACCAAACAGTAAACTCCATTTCAGAACAGAGCAGCTGGGTCAAATGATCCAACTGAATCCTGTACCGGTACGAGGACTGGTTCGAATGACGCTTGCGTAGCATATAATATTCAAATTCCTGGCGTATATACGGTACTGCTGAAGGATTGACAATGTTCGCGTCCGTTGTTAATAACCACTTGACAGAGGCACCGCTCATCGAGCGCTTCCAAACCTGGTGCAGTTATGCTTGAAATACTGCCTGTAGCACCCCAAAAGATAACTAATATCTACTATGTACAATATTTGCCAATCAGGTGTATCTTATTCTTGTTGGTTTTAATCCCTCTGACACTGCGACCACATTAGCCTACATCCGGCCCGACACTTGCCTACTCTGTGTGTGTTATCGTTCTGATGCTTGTTCCTGTCTCGCTTCATCCATCCACCTCTTTTTGGAAGCCGACGAATATGGTCCGTTGTGTCTGACTTCAATTGCGCTCTGATCTTCTAGCTCGATTACGTGCACCGTCCTATAAAATAATTACTCCGCTTCGCACAAACAGTTTTAAAACTTTTTCGTCGTCCGTATTTTTTGAGTTATTTCTTTTTCTCGATTTTGTACGTATTTCTTTGTTTCTAACCTAACCAATAGTTTCATCGTATTTCCGTCCATCTTTGCTCTTCTCTATGTACAAGTTACATGTAGCCTCTGAGTCGTTGCACCGCCAAGACATGTTTACTTTGGCTGTTTCAAGTTCCCTGAAACATAGTCCAGGTGTATGTGTTAACATCTTCTAGATCGAACTCGCAAATAAGACATTCAGACGGATCAATCGAGATGCAGTCGGCTTGTTCCACGCCTTCATTCGTCGGTATTGAGGCTGGTTCAAAACATTCTACTCTGCCCACCGAAGGAGGCAAATTATGAAACAAAGGAGTATACGATTTTAAAGGAGTTGCAGATCACTGCACAAGCTCGATTCGGAGCACTTAAAGGTCTGAAACTGGGACCTCGCAAGCCACCGACGTTGCTTCGCGAAAGTTAGCTCGTTGCTGGTCTCTTGTCCTTGAACGAAGATTTAACGGAGCTGTGACTTGCGCGTCTTCCACAACCGTTGCCGATAGTGCTGTCCAGATTTCTAGATAAGCCCCTGAAAAAAGTAGCTACCGCAGCAGTCGCTGCGTTCGAAAGTCTTACGCCTCATACAAACGGTAGTTTCTGCAACATTTTGCGGTAATAAAAAACGAGTGTCGCGGTTGCTCCGAGTAGTTACTTCACAGTAGGCTAGCAGAAACGAAGGCTTAGAAACAGGCTACAACATGGTCCGACGCTCACTACGTTTTGGCTACCGTTGATTGCGGCTGGTCTGTGCCTGTACAAAATACCTCTCGTTCTACATAAAAACGCAACATTTCCTCTGCACCTGCTTAGTCCGGTAATACCAATCCCGTCGAAAATTTATTTGGGTCTCACCGTTATTATGACGGAACAGCCCCATCTGCCATACTGAGGCTGATGTTGATTTCATACTTCTTCACCGCAGTTGGGCCAAACCAACTTAAACTAGGTCTCTTTAAAATGGATAGATTTCACCCTACTTTATTTGGTTTGTTCTGCCTACCTGAATACTCTTTTATTGACTTGCACACGTTGCTTACTCTAGTTATGGTTATCCTTGTTCACTTTATTACGTTTGGAGCATTTATTAAATAACTTGTGGACATTTTGTACTTATCGCGGATTCGTTGCTAACCAACTCACTTCATGTGCCAATTTAGGGAAGAGGTATGTCTGCATAGCCGTATTATTTGACAGAAATATTTTATTTAACAATGTTATTTCAAGTGATTGGTCGTTACTTGATATCCCCGGTGTGGCTGCGCTTGATGTGCATCTTGACAAGGTGCCTACCTGAATTATTTCAACAATT